TACTTTAATAAGAAACCAGTAGCTTAACTAAAGCAGTATGTGATGGAGTGGGAAGAACTCTATATTTGAAATTAGAAGATCTGTATTTAATTACTGGCTCTTGGAATGTCACTTCACCTTTGTAAGCCTCAGTTTCCTTATGTGTAAAATGAGTTTAGCCAATCTGATAAGAGTAATGTGGTACCTCAGTTGTTTTGAATTGTATTTCTCTAATCAATAGTGATTTAGAGCATTTTTTCATATGACTATTGATAGCTTTAATTTCTTCATCTGAAAACTGCCTGTTCCTATCCTTGGACCATTTATCAATTGGGGAATGGCTGAACAAGTTGTAGTATATGAATGTAATGGAACACTATTGTGCTATAAAAAATGATGAACAGGCAGACTTCAGAAAAACCTAGAAAGACTTATATGGAGTGATGCTGATTGAAGTGAGCAGAACTAGGACAACATTGTACACAGTAACAGCCATGTTGTGTGATGACTAACTTTGATAGACTTAGCAATGCTATCCACATCCAGAGAAAGAACTATGGAGCTGGAATGCAGATTGAAGCATACTACTTGCTCTTTTTTTGTTCTGTTTTGTTTTGTTTCTTCTTTCTTATTGTTCCTCCTATTGGTTCTAATTCTTCTTTACAACATGACTAATGTGAAAATATGTTTAATAAGAATGTATGTGTAGAGCCTATATTGGATTACATGCTGTCTTAAGAAGGGAGGAGAAAGGAGAAAATGTAAAACTCCAAAGCTTATGGAAGTGATTGTTGAAAACTAAAACTAAATTAATTAATTTTTAAAAAATAAGAGAGTTTCGCTGGATCCCTAAGGTTCTATGATCCTAAGTGGGGTCAAAACAAACTATAAACATTTTAAGGACCTATATGACTCACTCTGCTATATCTAGAATGAATAATACATCATCCCTATCCTCAAAGAGTTTGCTTCCCATGGAAGCAAAAAGCCTTAAATAACAATTAAGATCAATTAGAATATAATAAAGTACATGAAACAGGGATAAAGTACCATATGAGTACTGAGGAATGGCCAGAAGAACCAGGAGAGGCTTCATGAAATAGACTCTAAAGATGGGTAGGATATTAAACAGAGATTGGACACGGAGGAGGTTGAAAGGGGAGGCATATATCAGGCATAGAGAATTGTGTGACGAAAGGCACTGACAAGGGGAAGTCTATGTAACAAGGCTTAAAAAGGGAATGTGCAAAGCTGTCCTTCTCTATTCCAACCACATGTTCTTTGGGCAGTTTGAGATGGTGGTTTCCTAGTTACTTCCTGACCGGCCATGGGTAACCTAGCACTCTTTCACTTTTAAGACCAAGGTGTATCCTCTTATAGATCACTAAACTGTAAGAGTTAATGACTTAATGGACCTTTGAAAAGGTATGACTCCACCCTCTCCACCAACCCCACCCACACCCCTCTGTGTTTCTTCAATTTTCCCCTGTGTCAAATAGTTCTCTTTCACTAGATTTTCCAGAATAGTAGGAAGAAAAGCAGTATTCTTTCTCCCGACCTTGGCCACGTGTTGGCAGAGCTTGTACCTAGGCACTAGAGAGCTTTTTTTTTCATTTCTTGAATAAGTAATTAAGTATCAATCTTGACAAAGATGTATCCAGGTTAGGAGGTGAACTTGAGAGTTCAAAAGGTGTTCATTACAAGAGGTGGAACTGACTGTTGGCAAATGGAGTTCCTCCATCAGAGAAAATGACCATGGGCCCAAGACCTAACCTGGATTTGTAGAAGGCATGAACTGGGACCATGCACAGCCAAGATGAACTGTGGAATGCTTTTTCTATAGTTCCACAAGCTTCCATATTCTGATGTTTATGACTCTAGCAGATATAAGTAGGTATAAATTAGCAAATGCTTAAATATGTCAATGAGTGTTGAGTCTTTTGTGTCTTAGCATTTCTTTTGTGTGTGTACAAAACTACTTGACTCATGTTGTACATTGAGTACCTTTCTATTTCCCCACTTTGGGGAAACCCCAGACATGAACCAAAACCTAAGCCTTGAACAATTTTCCTCAGGGCACTGAGGTGTGGGTTTAATGAGCTACAATGTGAGAAAAGGGAGCTTAACTCCTCTAAAGGGAGGCCAGACTTCCCTAGGAAGCCAGTCCAGACTGTGTGCCCTGGGGTTCAGAGCAAAGGGTCCCTTAGGGCAAAAGAAAGAAGGGAAAATGCTAAATCCCCTTCAGCCCAGCAACAGTTCTTATACAGAACAGAAATGCTTAAAGACATAAAAGACTGTTGAAGAAATTCCTCCTCACCAACAGTCAGCTACTGGAAAAAAGCAGCACCAAACCAACACGTGACTAGAATGAGGAAAGATCAATTTGCATGTGCCCTGTTCTAGTCTAGGTTACACTTGGAAAGTGGGGAAATAGTATGTTTTGGAAGAACACAGTCTGGAAAGTAGGTCGAGGAAAAAGAGGGAAGGCAGGTTGGAGCCAAATGGTGGAGAGCTCTAAAAACCAAGTTAAAGGGCTGAGACCGTATTCAGTAGACAATGAGGAGCTATTGAAGACTTTTGAGTACTGAAATAATAATGTTTGAGCAGAACATCAAGAACATTAATATGGCAGTACTGTAATGTGTAGGGTAGAACAGAGTGTAAGAAAGATGGAAATTGAAGAGAATCATTAAGAAGTTGGAGCTATTGCAATACACAATGAGGCAAAAGGACCACCATCCTGGTGGGGAAAGCCACTTTAAGCATAGCCCAACAATACACGAAGAATCACCAGTGCAGTCCAAGCAAGAGCCAACTGGCAAAGCTGCAGAGCCTGGAGGAGATGCCCTAGGTTTTCAAAGATGGCTATTTCATCGTAACATCTCTATTGCTGGCATGATCCTGGTCTGAACACTTCCATTGTGATTCACTTATTACTCTGTACCCTCAGAATTTAATTGAAGCATTAAGACATTTTGATCATTGTGAATCTTGCTCCTTCAGACAGGTACAGATATGTAGGGGGCAGATCTCAGTTTCTTATTTTTGCTCATCCTATATTTGACATGAGTATATCTGGGCTCTGACACTTACTTTACAGAATTTCAGAATTAGTAGGCACCTCAATGGCTAGCTAATCTGGATGCCCTGAAAATACAACAAAAACTTAAGTAGATCCTTGAGCCATTCTCCACCACAGATAGCAGGAAAGCTCTCTCACTGGTCTCCCAGGCCAGTCTTTTCCCCCACCTCTTTCCCTCCAATTCATCCTGCAAACGGCTGGAATGAGCCAACCTTCCTAACCTGTCATTACCATCATGGGATCAGAGATTTAGAGCTGGAAGGAACCTCTTACATCATCAGGTTCAACTCCCATTATTCAGATAAGAAATTGAAGTCTGGGGGCAGCTAGATGGCACTGAAGTCAGGAGGACCTGAGTTCAAATCTGACCTCAGACCAAACACTTGACACTTACTAGCTGTGTGACCTTGGGCAAGTCACTCAAACCCAATTGCCTTAAAAAAAAAAAAGAAAGAAAAGAAATTGAAGTCTGGATAAGTTAAATGACTCATCCAAAATCATACCCTAGTCCTGTTTAAAAATGTGACATTGTTCCCTACCTCACTACTTAGCACCGAATTATGGACTATCTTTTATTTATCTCATTGTTGGTACCATTGTCTTGTCTCTACTAACTAGAATCTTAACTTCTTGAAGTAAGGGATTATTTTTTATTTCTGTATCCCCTACAGCCCTGGACACATAACAAGTATCTTAATATCTAATTGTTGATTTAACTCCTGTAAATAGCCCTGCCCAAGATTCTTAAGGAAGAAACCGAGAGCTGGTGTTAAAGCTATGCTTAAGAACATCTAGGATTCTTTCATTTCAGCAGAACACCCACGATCAGTTACCCTAGGAGTAAGGACCCTAGGAGTCCTTGAAACAGTCCTTTCCCTCCCTCCCTTTGCCTGTTTTTCACACTCGGTCTTTTGGGAGACAATAGACTCTTACATTATCAAGCAAAAGGTAAAGAAGGGGAGAAAGTAGGCTATTTGTATTGAAAAGAGCCTACAAGGATGGGACCGGGGTGGGGGTGGGGGTGCGGGTGCTAAGTATGCTGACATCTCCCTCACTAAATATAAACCAAACCAAAAGTTAAGCCTGACAACTTTTTACCATTAACCTTATAAAAATTCCGCAAAACGTTTCACTGATTCACTAATTTTTAATCGATCTACTGAGCTCAGAGTTGTTTGGTACCTATCGGAAAGCCTGCTGGGGGTGGGGAGGAGGAGGAGAAAAAAAAAGAAAGGCAGGGCGGCCTTTCAGCCACTCCACCCCGTGGCTTGGCAAAGGGACCAGAAGAGTGGGGTGGATGGAAAACAATGATGTTTGTGCCTCCTCAGAACCCTTGACCCACAGTTGCCAAGACAAAAACGCCCCCATCAGTCGGCCAGAGGAAACAATCCCCTCCTCGCTCCAAGCATCCAAGGAGGATGTGACAGCTCAGTCTGAAATACTCGAAGCACCGCTGCCCCGGGACGCGCAGTCGGCTAACAGCCCTTTCCAAAGCGCCACCCCGCAGAGACCTGGGCTCAGCCAATGACAGCCTGTGCGCCTGGGATAATGAGATGCCGCGGCCAAAACTGGACCAATTGGAAGCCAGGAGCTACCCGGAGGAGAAGATGGGAGGGGAAGGCAGGGAGGAGAAGGGACGATGGAAAGGGGAAAAGATCAAACAGTTTCTCACCTTGGGAAGCAAGGGACGCTTCCCTATACTCTGCACGGCCCCTCCTTCCAACGAAGGAGGAGAGTCCCAAGCCGCTTTCTCCGCACCCTCAGACTCCCCTTCGACAGAGGGAGAAGAGGGTAGAAAGCGACAGTGGCTATTTTATGCTGGGGGTAAAGGGGAGAGTGACAGTTTTGTCGTTGTGGGCTGAGCTCGTTCTGTACCTCGTGGGGCTCACAGGCCAAGGGAGGGTCAGCGGACCGTGACTGAGCCCCGGGGACTCGATGCGGTGGCCATGGACAGAGCGGCTCTGCCGGGACTGCCTCGCCTCTGCGTCCTGTGGGCAACTCTGCTCGCCCTGTTCCCCTGCGGCGTTCACGGAAACTGGATGTGAGTATGAGAGTGGCGGGGCGGGATGGGGAAGAAGGCGGAGGGTCCGAGGGACGGACGCCCTTCCCGGGCGGGTGGTTGGAAAAAAAAAAAAAAAAAGGGTACGGAGCCCTGGGGGCAGCCCCTGGCCAGGAGAAAGCGTGGCTCGACGTCTGGGAGCCGCGGGTAAGCTGTGTTTGCTGAGGGGAGATGGGCAAATGAGGGGACTGACTGTACATGGCTCACGCCGGGTGGGGGGGGGGGCTGCCATCTCTTGCAGGTGGCTGGGCATTGCCTCCTTTGGGGTCCCAGAGAAGCTAGGTTGCGCCAACTTGCCTCTGAACGGCCGTCAGAAAGAACTGTGCAAAAGGAAACCTTATCTGCTGCCCAGCATCCGAGAAGGGGCACGACTGGGCATCCAAGAGTGCAAGAGCCAGTTCAAACATGAGCGGTGGAACTGCCAGGTGTTCTCGCCCGCTGCCTCTGCCCCCGCCGCCGCCGCGCCCCCGGCTGCCTCGCCAGGAGCCGCCCCTCTCTTCGGTTACGAACTGAGCAGCGGTGAGTCCACCTGCTCCCCTTCTTTCTCGGCCTCTCCCCTCCCCAGGGAACCGGCGGGTTTGACGCGTCGCGGAGGCTGCTGAAGCTGGAGCAGGCATCCCTCCTCTGGCTTTCAGAAGGGAACATTTGAGTTCGCGTTGTCTTATGGACCGGGAGAGTCGGGGATGGTGGGCGGGAAGGAGGCTGAAATACAGCAGGGTTTTCTGTCAAGCTGCAGGTGCGCCCCCGGGAAGGGGGCCCCAGCTGTGGACTTGGGCACTGAGGGGGTGAAGCTGTTCTCATTATCCTCGATGTCCTCCCGACCCAAACCCTCGACCTTCTGCCTTCCTACCTTTGAATTGGGTGGAAACTAAGACTTCTTTCTCTGAGTCCCTCCCGCCCCCTTCATCTCCCGCTGTTTTTCGAGACCAGCTGGGGAAACATGATGTAGGCCGCAGAGAATGCTGTTCCCCATCTGCTTTGATTTACCCAGCCGTGCCACGCAACTAGCCCTGGTCAGGTGGGTAATTGTGGCAAAAGCAGAGCAGGTTCCCCCACCCCCGCCCCACTAGCTGACCAGACTCTCTGTCTCTCCAGTCACTGAGTTTAGAGAGTAAAGAAAATCGGTCAGGGAAAGTCATTCCAAACACTCCAAGAGTTGTCTTCCCTTAACCTTCTCCCTTTCCATTTCCTTCTGGGCAAGACACAAGCTCCCTGGGAAAAGTTGTGGGAAAGTTTAAAAGTGTCAGTGGCCCTTCAGTTGCAGTGTGACTTTGTGAGAAGAAAGGCATGAGGATGTCTGGCTTTGTTAAGTGGGTCCCAACGGCAGACTGTAGTGCCTTTTCCTTTAGACCGTTCTATTTTCACCCTACTGGTCTACTGATCTTTCCCCATCAACATCCTACCCTTTCCTTACACCATCCCCCCTATACCTCTTGTGAATATCTTATGTGTTCTACCATGTGACTCCACAGACAGACCTTCATAAGCAGCAGGGGCTCCTGCAGAGAATAACCACAACAAACATGGTCTTCAGTTGCAGAAATATCAGTCATTCACTGTTGAAAAGGTTTAATTAGACTGCAGATGACAGGCTGCTTTTATTAAAAAAAAAAAGTGAAAAACATCTATCAGTGCAGGCCTTTCTATTCTATTTTTTTAATGTTTATATAGGATCATTAGTTATCCAAGTATTGTTAGTGACATTAATATTAATACTAATGTAGGTATTATAAAGATCTTTTTCCCAAACCTCCAATTTCTCCATAACAATTTACTGCGACTGTTACACTCACACTCAGAAGTTATCATCTCTCATCTAGTATTGCCTTAAAAATAAGTTACCCATTGTATACAACACTGTAATGCCTCTAGCAGTTTCAGATTAGGTAATATCCATCGAATGCATAATCAAAGGGATAAATAAAAATATTTCACATAATACCAACGATGTTTACATGCTATCTACTAAAGATAAGTCTACTCTGGAAATACATATATAATTTTCATATTTTAAAAAAAAAATTACATGAATCCAGGCTTTTACTTTTACCTTGTTTTTTTGCATACAGGTTAAAAAAAAAACAATCACACTAGTTTTTGCAGTGTGTATTTAGGAAGGCACAAATTAAAATGAAAGATAACTGTGTATGTTTGGGGTGTTACAGGGATATTGTCAATATTTTTCCCATAGTTCATTTTAACAAGCAGTAATTAATTCTATGTTTTAAGTACTGAATTAGTTGCTGAAATTTATTTCCTTGGAATACTTTTTTTTTAAAGGATAATACTAAAATTAGATAAAAGACTGACCTACAAGGACACTGACCAAGGAGTAATTTTACTTGAACCTGCCTGAAAATCGTTTTAAAGTAGAGAAATTTTATAAATGATGTCTCTGCTTTTTAAAAAGAAAAGGGCAATAGCAAACTTCTTGTTCTGATCTTATATTTCTGATATTGCATTTGCTGCAACTGTTTTTTTTTTTTTCAATTTAATTCAGGAATTTATTAAGCACGTACTCTGTGCAAGGTACTATCCTGGGCGTCTGTTATATAAAGATGTCATTTTTTTTTCCAAAAAAAAAATGCATTTCCTTCATGAGAGAACTTATAGGAAACCCATTTCAGAGATGTATTGCAATGACTTTTTAACTGAATAATCCCCCTTATTTTGTCCCAGGCACCAAAGAAACAGCATTTATCTATGCGGTGATGGCAGCAGGTCTGGTGTATTCTGTGACAAGATCATGCAGTGCAGGGAACATGACAGAGTGCTCCTGTGACACCAACTTGCAAAATGGTGGCTCAGCTACTGAAGGTTGGCATTGGGGTGGCTGCTCTGATGACATCCAGTATGGCATGTGGTTTAGTAGAAAGTTCTTGGATGTCCCTACCAAAAACACCACTGGAAAAGATGGGAAACTGTTAGCAATGAATCTACATAATAACGAAGCCGGGAGGCAGGTATGTATTAGGACATGAAATAAAAATGATTTAAGAGCTTACAAGATGAGGCCAAGCTTAGCCTCAGTGTAAATGAGATCATATCAATGAGGAGAAAACTAAGGCATGAATGATATATGTTATTCTAAAATAGTCTAAAATAGCTTTTGTTTCAGGCACATGCGTCCTTCTAGGTGTGTTTGTTACTTTTGTGGGGCTTGTATTTCCCATAGTATAACCGAGCCTTGCTTTACAAAATAGATCCCTTCAGAAATATTGATCATAGAATCTTAGGACCAAAAGAGACCTTGAATCATTCAATTCAGTACTGACTCAGAAAGAGGAAAGTCACTTTAACTTGTATCTGAATCCAAGTGCTCTGTTACTCACTGGAGAGGTGCTTTTTCTACTAAGCTACGTTATATCACTTGCATGAGTTCAATAAATTGAATTCAATTTGTCCAGTGGATTATATTTAAATAAAGGAATTCTTTATAATTACTTCTTAATGATCTTCAGCCCACTGGAATTCTTAGCTCTTTAGTTTAATTACTTGTCTGTCTACACCTTTCTCTACTATGACCTATGAAGTGCACATTTCATAAGAATCTTTTTGTAAAACAAACAAAAAAAAGTACAATTTAGCCTTAAATATTAACCACCTCATTTATCCAGTATCTGAGCTCAGGTTTTTTGTTCACTTTTTCGTGTAAAATACGCTACACATTTTCCTTTCATTTTATATCTTCATATCCACTGAGAGGGTTGACAGTACAAATTAAATTCATCAACATTGCTGAATTACATGAATATTCACAATGACTCTTCTGAAGTCACTGAAAACTTTGTTGTGAACATTTATCTTGTTATTTTCAGCAATTCCTTTAGTCCATAAAAATCATTGCATATTTATATAATTTTAGATTCCTGATTAATCACCTAACAAACTGTAAATCTCCCATAGCAGCCATTCAATTGCCGGATAAACTTAATATAAAGTAAAACAAGTCAAAACATTTAGGAAAAGTCTTTGACAAAAACTACCTTTATGCCATGGCCATTCTTTTTTTTTTAAGTAAAAATAAAATAAAGATGATTCAAAATAATTTACTGTCTCTGGACAATTTATATTTAAAGAATTAAGCTATTTTGAGTTTTAGAAAACTTTGAAATCAGTAAGTTATATTATTTAATTGCAGAATGTCACTAAGAAAATTAGTAAATAATATTTTTAAAATATAATGTGTTTAATTTTTTTCCATTTAACAACAAAGAGAAATTTCCTTGATTTAAAAATTTTATTTTTAAAAATATTTTAATCTGTTCTTCCCACTGTCCCTTTCACCACCATGGAACACCAACAAAAACAAAAACAAAAAACCCTAAAACCCTCATCATAAACATGCATAGTCTGGCAAAACAAATCCCCACATTGGCCATGCATGAAGATGTATGTCTCTCTGGCAGGAGGTGAGTATTGTGTTTCATCTTCAGTCTCCTGGACTTGTGGCTTAACAGCATTGATCTGTGTTCTAAAGTCTTTCAAAGCAGTTTTTCTCTGCTTTGTTTTCATTGTATAAATGGTTCTACTTCTCTTTACTTCAATTTGCATCAACCTACATAGGTCTTCCCAGTTTCCTCCAAAACTGTCCATTTGTCACAATAATATTCCATTATATTCATATACCAGAATTTGTTTAACCACTTCCCAAGAGGTAGGTACTCCCTTAGTTTCCAGTTATTGGCTGGAAAAGAACTGCTGGAAATATTTGGGTCTTTTTTTCTTTCATAAAAGATTTATTTTGTACAAATTAGACCAAATGAATAATACATATTATATATACGATAACACATATATATGTATACACACATACATGCACACATGCACACACAGAGGCATATTTGTTGCTTTACTTTCAATACAATCCAATTTAGAACATCTTTTCTAGCGTAGGAAATGCAAGAAAAGTTAAAATATAATTAATAACTAATAGAATAATGTGCAAAGCACAATAATTCAAAGTAGAACAGTAAAAAAAAAGTCAAAGGAGTAAAATAAATCCACTTGGCTTACAAATGAAGGAAATTCATATATCTTAGAATCCCTAGTCATACTGTTAGCTTCTTTAAATTCAATCACATTGAAATGCTAAATCTTTCAGTCAAAATAAACGAGATAAAACATAGAGACAAGAACATATTTTTGAAATACTTCTTTCTGTCTATCTGAAAAGATTTTAGTCTCTGAATTGAAACTAAAATAAGAATGAACAGAACTAGGAGAAAAAGGTATACATAACAACAACATTACAGAGAAAAGCAACTTTGAAACAACTTTACAACTCAGATCAATGCAATAAAAAATTAAGAATTCTAATAGATATTGAAATGTATCTCCATGATGAAACTAAGGGGTTTAGTATTACCTTGTTTTTCTGGGTTTTTTTTAAGTTATATGGAAATATTAGATCTGGTAAATGTTCATTTTGATACTAAACTACTATCTTCATATTTATTTTAAGAACATACTCCTCAGCATTAATCCTAATCTACTTCTTGCTTATTTTAAACAAGCTTCTGAATTATTTCCTACATTACAGTAATCAGTTTTATTGTTATTGTGCCAAAGAGAGTTATGTGCTGCAGAAAAATAATTCAGCCCACACATAAATCTCACCGTATTGTAGACATAAGCTTTGGAGTTTTGCCAATAGTAATTTTTTTTCTTTTCACACTATTGTAGCCACATAAAAAATTAAAACACATGAAATATTTTGTTGTATAATATTGGGGGGGATATAAACACTTAGTTCTTTTTTGGATCTCTCTTAAAGTACAGCTCATATATTAGAATCCAAATTACATTTTGTAGTTTCCTTTTAAATGGTAGGATAAAACAAATTACCAGGTTATTGTCTTAAGTGAAAGGACAATCAAGTCAATTTTCAGCTCTGCCAATGAGGATTTTAAGGTAATAGGTATCTTCTTCAGAGTGGAGTTGAAGGTCTGCATTCAGTTGTACTTTCCTAGTCTCAAAATCCCCAGACTTAAAATATAAGGAAATGTTCCCAAAAATGTGGGTACTGGCGCTTAGTTGTGCTATGAGTAGGACAGATGATTTTCTAACCGCTGACCTTAAATACTCTGAATCCCACTAGGTTTCTGACACCATTCCTTAAGTTATGCCTCCAAGAATAATGTTGCAAAGCAGTGATTGGCCAATGGCATGATATGATGTCTTCCAGGGGCAGTACTTCTGGGAATGATGTGACTTGGAATATTTATGGGTATTTCTTTTGGTGTGCATAGGATATTTCCATTCTTCCCATGTCTACCTCATAAACTTTTAAGTTTCCCTACCCCATAATTTGTTTTACGATGAGTAACTCAAAAAATAGGAAGGGCCAGACCCCAAATGTTCATTGACTGAATTTAAGAATAGTTAAGATAAGTAGCTGAACAACACACAAGCGTTTGAATCATCAGCAGGTTCAAATATTTCTTCAAACAGAAACTGAACAAAATGACTCCTAGGAATAGGAATAGCTCATACCATTTTATGAACTTGTATTGCAGTTTTTATGATTGAAATGGAATCAGCTGGCAGACTTCAAAATTAAACAAGTTAACGGACCTAAATTTATCAGCAAAATTTGCTGGTCATGCATGGAACACTCTTGTCAGAAATGTTAGCTCCAAATCAGTATTGAGAGACCAGTTCTTCAGCCATTTGAGCTGCTTCTATCAATCCTGTATTTATGTTTTGCAGTCTTAGTCATGCATCTTTGCTATCATATTTCAAAACATTTCATCTCACATTGGCCAAAGCAAAATACAGGGAACTTCCATGGACCAAATGCCAACTTCTTAATTGCCCTCTCAAAGTTCAGAAATGTTCCACCAAAATGCACACATCTGTTTGCAATAGTTAACAAAACATTCCTCTGTTGATATCGTTATAAACCTTAACAACTCAACTAGAGTAGAGAAAGGAATTTGCACATAACCACATAAAATTCATTCAGTTGCTATTCTCCTCTGGAGTTTCTGGCAAAAAAGACTGTGACATCCTTTATTTTCAAATTTTACTATTTATAATTAAGTGGCCCACTGTTTAAAATTCTCGGTACATGACATAAAAACTCACTTGGACCAGACATCATATTCCTGGATGTAAGATTCTTAGTTCTTGAAATTTTATTCAGAGAATCTTCTTGTTTTCTAAAATTATATTATTACGGTCCTAAGATGTAATGCTCCTCATTTTTTGTGTGACTTGAGGCAAATCACAAACATTAACCTTTGGGATTTCTTTTTTTGTCTTTTTTTTTTGTGGGGGTGGCATTCGTAAAACCAGTGACAATTCATCTAATAATGTGTCTTGAGCACTTACTATGTGTAAAGCACTATACAAATCTGGTAGTGGAAGACGAACCCTCTAGTCAGTTAGTACTTCTAGTATTCCTTTCTTCTCTTTTTAGGTCCTCTGCGGTGCATAGATATGAAATGTATTTCAGTGGTACAATGATTGTATGTGTGTGTGTATTATACACATTCATATGTACATGCATATGTGATATATGACATATTCCACTTAAATATTTCTAGTTTATTTTCTATGGAAATTCAGTGGTTTTATTATCATTGAGGATCATCTGTAATAAAAATACCACTCCCCTACTTAACAGACATAGTAAGAGACCCTCCAAATCTGTCGAAAATGGGGTGAAAGCTTTTTGAATGTTAATCCTTGAAAGCTGGTTAACTCCAAGTTATTAAAAATTCCAGTTTCCATATCATTTGCCACACAAATTCAGCAGGTGGTGAACTATGGAATGAGAAAATAAATCTCTTTTGTACTTTCTACCCTTTCTTTTAAAAATGTTCCCCCTATAATGATAGCTCAGATTTCTATAGAATATTACATTTACAAAGCCCTTTCTTCACAATCACCCAGAAGGTTGTTAAGGTAGATGTTATTATCCTCATTTTAAAGACTTGGAAGCTGAGGCTCAGAGTAATTAAATCACTCATACAAGGTTGTACATAGCTAATAAGCAGCAGAGAGAAATAGAGCTTCTGCCATGGAGTCCAGTCTTCTTTTCATTGCATCAAGCTGACTCTATCTCCCCCAAACCACAAAAGAGTAACTGTTGTGGATTTTATCCTATACTAGGTCCCCTCAATTCAACAAATATTTAAGAAGTGCTTACCGATTGTGTTTCAATGCACTGGCAATAAAAATGTGAAAGTAGACATGATTCCTGTCCTCAAGGAGCTTATAATCTAAAGGGAGGGAAGGGAAGAGAGAAACAACGGCTTGTCAGTCTGTAGGATGGGTATAGAGATAACCATAATGCAAGAAGATAAGTGTGAACTCCAAAAGACTCATGACAGAAAATGCTGCCCACATCCAGAGAAAGTACCATGGAGTCTGAATGCAGATGGAAACATACTATTTGCTCTCTTTTTTTTTTCTTGTTTCTTCTTTCTCATGGTTTCTCCCATTGGCTCTAATTCTTCTTTTACATGACTAATGGGAAAATATGTTTAATATAAATGTATATGTAAGGCCTATATCAGATTGCATTCCATCTTGGGGAAGATGGAAGGGAGAGAGGGGGAGGAATTTTAGACCTCAAAATCTTATGGAAGTGAATATTGAAAACTAAAAATAATTTTTTAAAAAAGAAGATAAGTATGTAGAAATCTAGGATGGTATAAGAGATTCAAGGGAGGAGGTATCACTTATTACTTAACAAATTAGGGAAGGTTTTATGGTAGGGGCTCAGTTGAATTAGACCTTGAGGGGGAGGATTTCAATAGGTGGAGATGTAGGGAAGCCATGCTAGGCAGGAGAGGTGGCACTCACAAAGGCACAGATGCAGGATTGAAGAGAGACTAGAGTGAGATAACTCCTGAAAAGGTATGTGGATTCAAATATCGAAGCCTTTTGAATGCCACTTTAAGGAGTTAATATGAGCACTGCTGGAGGTTTCCTGACAAGGTTGATGGGGGTGGGAGTAGGAGTTAGAAGTTGCTAGTTCGAGATGGGTTAAGTAGTGAAATAATAGTTGAAATAGTATTTTACATATCTTATTATCCTTATGGAAGGCTGGTTGTGGATCGACTCAGAAATTCAATCTTTTTACAGGCTAGAAAATATCTGTTAACGGCTTAGGGGAGGAATTTCCACCACTGTCCTTGCTAGAAAATATGAAGGTAAAGACTGCTTTGAAACTCAGAAAAGGTCACTGAAAAGATTTTATATTGAAATTAGTTTCCCTGGAATCAGGAAGACTAATTGTGCAGTATCAAGGGATAGTGTGGGGATGGCCCAAATCCATCAGTCAGCTGAATATATTGATCAACTGCTATTTCCCAAGGGTCTCCTGGGTGGCCCATTCTATGTAAACTATTCTTTGATTTACTATACAAGGTCTTTCATGAGACTTCACTCTGCTATTCAGGGTATGTCCCCAGTTATGGCACCACAGAGAGACGTGGCATTTAGGCACAAGAGTTGGGCTGCTTGTGGTAATCAACAAGTTTTAACCCATAATTATAGATTCTTAGGACTACAATTATGAGCTCTGAAAAGTGGCTTTATTTGGCATTTATTTAGTTCCTTTCTCCTAATAAACTGAAGGTACTTAACAACATCTGACCACATAAAGTATGTAGACTATATTAATTTGTCCCTGTGCCCAGAGTCATTATTTTATTGGGTACATTTCAAAAACTAAATTCCAAGTTCCCTAAATGTATTGGAGCAAGCTTATGTTCCATGTTATAAATTACTTTAGAGCCTTTAAGGCCAATCAAAGAGTATGCCTTACCCGAGGTTAATAAGACTCAGGCATATATATTTTCTAAGCTTCTCACAAATTAATTACTTTTACAGCCTTGCTGCATGTGATAGTGTGTTCTAATGAGTAGCCATCCTTATGGTCAGAGAGGCCCAGGGTTCAAGTCCTGCCTTTGGCACATACTAGCTGTATGACCACCAGCAAAGTCACAAATTCTCAGAGCCCCTAGGCAACTCTCTCAGACTATATATTGTGGATGAGTTGATGATCTTTGGGGAGAGGAAATTATAGAGATGAAATCTCAGGTCTAGACCTCAAAAAAGGAAAGTCCTCTCAATTTGCGAGGGATCTGAAGCCTTTCCATTATTTTGTTAATATTGCAAATTCAAAAAATGATGTGTATGCAACATTCTACAAACAATGGCGGCCTCCTATGTGATTCTTTTATGATGTTATTATTTGTGAGAAGTACTACCACTGTAACTTACCATAAGCTCCAAATCACTGTATAGCAATATTTGAATCATTCTCTGTAGAATCTAATATTTAATTAGGAAAGATTACACAGCTCATAAGATGTATAACCTTTAAGTGGCCTATAGAAGATCAAAGTGTTAATCTCATTGTTATTTTGCAATTCAGATAAGAAACCCCTTACCTAAGTGGAATTAAAACTGTGGGCTCATTTCTTTCATCAGCGATTATTAAGTCATTGGATAGAAGGGACAATTCTAAATTTTTCCAAATATGTTGCCTACATACTAAGTCTCCAACTATTTCTAGTAATGTATTATTTTGTTCTGCTATCCTTTGGGAAATGATGGAAGCTCTTGTAGTTTGGTTACTATGATTTGCTGGCTAGAAAATGTAGGTTCTAGTATATGAGAAACTAGCACTACACAGACTTAAAATTCTAACTGCACATTTCACACAATATTAGAGTCAATTCCATATCTAAACACTACTTTGACTTTTATTGCACATGTTGATTGCCAATTTTTGAGATTTTTTTTTTTTGCTTTTTCAGTCTGTTTGGGTTCAATTCAACTCTCGGAACTGGAAAGTGTTAGATCAATGGTTCTTAACCTGGGGTCCATAGAGTTTTTCAAACATATGTCAATATAATTATAATGTGTTACAATATATGATTTTGTAATCCTGTGTATTTTAGTTTATGCATTTAAAAATGGTTTTGAGAAGAGGTCCATAAGCTTATAACAAAAAAAAAAAGGTAAAAACCCAAGCTTTAGATGATAGCTACTGACCCACCAATAGAAAAGCATGGATATTTTGTTCTATTTCTTGTTGTGGGGATAAACTTGTACTTAACTATCCACACTGTCTCACCTAACCTCCCTTTGGTCAGTTTGGGTGCAGTTTACCAGACTTGAGTAAGCATCTATGTTCCCTTCCCATTGCTGGGAATACCCGGGGCATGGCCATGCTAACAATGAAGCCTCAAGGACTCTAGCCCCATGCAAAAGCCAAAAGGAGGTCAACTTTTACCAGGCTTCATTACAATAAATGAGTTGGAACTTTGAATTTTTATATAGAAACGGTGATGGTTCGGTTCTAAATTTCTATTAGTGCTGTAATTTTGTGAACATTAGAGATTGAATCACCTCATGAGAGGTGCAGCTTTGTATTTTTCATGTTGTTATTGTTGAGGATTTTTTTGTCAGGGGCAGGGCAGGAATAATGGGATGGACAAATTGTTTAGAAATACCAAAGGTGTGTGTGGCAGGGTGGCGGGGGGAAGATTAGGGGCTAAATGGATATCTGGGAGCTGGCAGGGGAAGTTGACCACAATTTAAAACACTTGTTTCTGTGGTAAAATGTCTTCTGGGTTCCAAGCAACATACATACTTTTGAAACAACCCATGTGTAAGCTGGGGACTGTCTGTATTGCTAAAATGTTCTTCCATTTGCTTTTGTCATCATTTATACCATTTTCAGAGAGGAATAAAAAAGATCTCTTCTCCCAGTTTTGAATACAGTAGGGAATAAATTTCTTGAATGCAGAAATACTTGGCAAGTGTGGGCAAAACCTCAGTATCTTTAGCTGGTGTAAAATGACTCTGGTGGTTGAAGTCATCAAACTTGCTAGAAGCAATAGGTTACATTTAAATTGAGAAATGGAAAGTTTTTCTACAGGAATAATAGAAATAGCTAAAGGTACAAGGTGTTTAAAAGATGGGACATATATTTACTACTTGTCTCCCAAGAATTTTCCCTATCACTTCTGCCTGTCAGAAGAAATCTCTTTGGTGTGTATTATAAACTTTTTTTTTTTAATGAGACCACTAGCTAGAGAATATTTCAATAGTATTTTTTTAGTGGATGAAATTATCATTTGTGTGAAAATGTAATGGGTTTAGTTTTCAGGGGCCCATGTCATTTTTTATCCTTTTTAAAGGTATAAACATATTAGTTTTCTGGCATCTTTCTAAATGTCATGTGGCAGTAGGTTGATTGCTTTTATTTTATTTCTTTTGTTTTTGTGTGTTGCTATAAGGGAAACTTGGAGGAAAGTGTCACCCAACTATACTCTCTGGGGGCTGTCTAAAATCATTAGTCCAGTCAAGCCCACTCATGTCAAGTTACAGGGAATTTCCAATTTGACCTTGCTCTAAAAAAGATCCTGAATCCGATTTTACAGTGTCTAAGAAATGCACAAAGATAGTATCATTATTGCCTGGGTAAGCGAAACAGGAAGAAATAGTTATTTGGAGTTCAGTTGTAGACAGGAATTTCAGGAAGTTCAAGTAAAATCTGAACATGATTCCCGTTTGATTTCAGGCAGTAGCCAAGTTGATGTCAGTCGACTGCCGCTGCCATGGAGTTTCGGGTTCCTGTGCTGTGAAAACTTGCTGGAAAACCATGTCTCCCTTTGAGAAGATTGGTCATTTTCTAAAAGATAAGTACGAAAACAGTGTGCAGGTCTCGGATAAAATGAAAAGAAAGATGCGCAGGAGAGAAAAAGACCAGAAAAAGATATCAGTGCGCAAGGATGATCTTCTCTACCTTAACAAATCGCCCAACTACTGCATGGAGGATCGAAAATTAGGCATCCCTGGGACGCAGGGCAGAGAGTGCAACCGCACTTCGGAAGGAGCAGATGGGTGTAACCTCCTCTGCTGTGGGAGGGGTTACAACACCCATGTAGTAAGACACGTGGAGAGGTGTGAATGCAAATTTATCTGGTGCTGTTATGTTCGCTGCAGGAGGTGTGAAAGCATGACTGATGTCCACACCTGCAAATAACCTGGGCTCCAATCCAGCATCACCAAAAGCTCCGGGTGATACACAACCAAAATATAACAGACTTAGTCTATATTTCTGAAAGGGAAAGGTTAGTGAAGTTTAATCAGGTCCACCACCATGTCTGGATTTTAGTCTCTAATATTTTCTTCTAATTAAAAGCAAGTTCACACTTCCTTGACTTGGATTTCCCTGAAATTCCAAAGGTTTGATTCAACAAATATATATTAAACACCCGCCCTGTGCAAATGTAAGTTTAGGTTCATCTGTCTTTGTTTAGATGCCTTTTGGGTAGGGGACGATGACCAAGAAAAAAGCGGTGAAGAGACTCTCCAAAGGAGAAACAGGTCCATGAAGATGTCAGCTCATGATGAGACACTCGACCCATAATTGGCATAATTTGCTTAAATGTGAATTTGATCAAGCAGATGTAGTAACTATTTTTAAAAAGAATATTGCTTACAGCAACAAAGCACTTAAGCAAGGATGTTATCACATGTCAGTATTTTTGAAGAAGGCTTTACGAAGAGTTCCTAGAAAACGAAACTGTAAATATGTTCATGGAAGTGGCATAAATGCATTTACCCTTTCATCTACTTAGGAAGAAGGCCAGATTACCAAAAGTATTAGGGAAAGACAGACTCCCTCTTAAAATATGGTGCCCATTAAATATAGCTGGTATCCAAGGCAAATAGAAATCGATTTTTAAAAAAGTTATAGAGTTTGAATTTTAATGTATCTTTGTAGTCTAAACACATGGATTACCAAAAAAAATCAATAAATCTTATCCTAATAACTTGCCATTAGACACAGAAATTAATAGACTCATACAAATTGCTTAAGCTACACGATTTTGTTGAGGAAAAAAAAATCCCTGAAAGTGTTACAAATCTGTGAAGAAAAAAGTTTATTGGATGTTAATTTTGAAATGTATGGAATGACACTGTTTAAATGTGTAAAGACAGTATTTTGTATAGTATTTTGATAAGAAAATTTTATATTTTGTAAATATAGTATTTAAATTATATGAAATATATGAAATGCTTAAATCATATTCTTTTTAAGAACTCAGAACTAAGGCAATTAGAGCATCTTTGAAATCATTGCTTTTATACAGTCTCATAGTAGAAATCCTCAACTTGTTTGCTTATGTAGACTAAGAAAGTTATTTGAACAGTTATATGGGTGGTTTAATTCTTACCAGAAAGGTAGTTTTGTGTTACAGATTGTTTATAAGTTGTTGAGAAAGTCTGTGACCTGAACAGTCAACATGACGTTCTTTTTCACACACCCACACCCACCATTTTAAATTGTTGTATAAATGCAGACTATTAAAATAACATCTATTTTAGTATCTGAAAAAGAAACCTAAAAACGGCAGTACAAGGACAATTTTGTGTATCCATTGTGTCATATTTACTGTATTATATATAAGACTAGGTTTTATTACTTAAATTTTGTTAATTTTCCTACATTCTAAAAACATATACAATACATTATATATACATATTGGTTTTAAAAAATTCTAGGGCTGAATATTTTAATGTGCTTCAACTTTTCTGAGCTTACTAATAACAAAACATTTACATTTATGGCCTTGTTTTAAAAATAGATTTCTTAAGCACAAAGTAGACAAGAGAGTATTTTTCATGACATTCTATTGAATATATTAAACAGAAATTTTTTTTCTCATTTTCATTTATTTCCTTGTTTGTCAAGGTAGAACAGGGACTTGTGAAAAATAGCAAACCCATGAAAAATGTCGCAGGTTCAAATACTAAGAGTAAGGTTAAAAGTTTAACTGTGACCCTCAAGTTTAACAACAGTGGTCATGCCAATTTCAGGGCTAAGAAATGACCTAGGAAGTGGCCAAATGCCTGTCTGTAAGTGGTGCTTTTCTGATTCTGGACAGGCATTTGGGTAGTATAATGAGAAACAATCCCCGACTCTTTTCTGCTCTGATGAATAAGTAGATAAATTAGGTAAGTGCAATTTCCACTGTAACACTGAATTTCACATTAGCCTCTTTTATTCACCTTAATACAACCTTCCAATGTATTTCTCCTATCTGCACTCAGAGACGTGAATATAACTGAGAACATCATAAAATACAGGTGGTGAAAGGTAAATGTCAATGCCAGCTCATCTGGGTGTGAATGTAAGAACACATTCCAAACTGTATGATTTTTTCTTTCCAATAGTTTAAAAACTTGATACAACTTGATCTCCTTTTGATACTGCTATTTAAGCAACATAAAACCATATCAGGTAGCTACGCTTTTGAATATATAGTCAACATTATTCATTTTTAATGGTATGGCTAATTTGTTGTGTATTTGACTTGTAAGAATCTTAAGGAAATTTATCAGAATTAGATGCCGATGATCCTGTTCTAAGTCTTTGCAGTTATAACTTGCTATTACTATAGCAAAAATTGGTAGCAGAATCATTTTCTGGACAGGCTGGATTGAAATCAGGAAATCTAGGAAAGAAGTCATTCTTTACACTTAACCTCCACTGAATTATTTATAGGTAGTGTGATAATTTCCAAATATGCAAATGGATGCTATCCAACCACTTTTTGTGATATGCAGTCCTTCTCAAAAAGTGTTCAGTCCACTGTGATAAATTTAATTGTTAAACGAACAAAATGGCACCATTTCTCCAGAAAGTATGAATATTCTTCAAGGCTTTAATATCTTCCTTAGTACTTCACCATTACGTCCATTCGTTGAAATTTACTAGATGTCTTGTAATTAAGACATAATTCAATTACATAACAGACTAGCCTGAACTTGGAGCTAATATCATTTACTTGGCAGAGTAACTAGGGCCAAGTACGTAGGATATGGTAAATAAGGGGAACTGAACTTGGCGTAGCCCCCCAAAATGTGGAAAGCCACAGCTATGGCTGCCAGAACCCTTAGGACTACTTTTAGATTTGGAATGTTGCCTGTAAATTGCAACCCCTTTACTTTTAAACTGAGTAAAACTACAGACCCACACAGACACATAGGCACGTCATTTCAGTCGTGTTCAACTCTTCGTGACCCCATTTGGGGTTTTCTTGACAAACATAATGGTTTGCCATTTCTTTCTTCAGTTCATTTTACAGATGAGGAAACAGACATACAGGGTTAAGTGACTTGCCCAGGATCACACAGCTAGTTAAATGGTTGAGGCCAGATTTGAATTTAGGAAAATGAGTCGCCCTGACTCTAGCACCAGCACTCTATCCACTGTACCACTTAGCTTGGAAAATTTAGGATATTCACAAAAGCAATCAAAATTACAGTATTCTTTTTTTGATTCTGCAAATGGTGGGGAGAGGAAGAGGACAGGCAATTTCCAGGAAGAATGAACAGTTTAGTTCTTGAAATCGTCCCTAAGCATAAAAACACAATTACAATCCAAAACTGCTGTTATATAAGTTTTTTTTTTAAATTGCTCCCTATAATTCATGTAAGGAACTTTGGGTATGCAAACTGCTTCCACCAAAGTAACTTCAGTAAATTATACTTGTAGAGTCATCTAGGAATACTGAAAGCTAGGCAAATTTGGCGTGTCAACAGCAAAACTTGAACTCAGATTTCCTGGACTCTAAGGCCAGCCTTCTACCCACTATACCATGCCAAATCAATAATTATATTACTTAAAATAACAGACCATGCACCAATTCAAAAAATAATCATTCCAAAAGGAAATCTATAAATGCTCATCTAATTGATGACAGAGAAAAAGCCTGTCTTTTGTTAATGCATCTTACTATTATCTTATTTACCATGTCTAATCAAAAAGTCCAAATTTCCCATTTTGTGATTTCAAAGGAAAATCTTATTGTAAAATGCTACATTAGAGAAAAACAAAAGACTAAAACAAAATCACTATGATAGAATACCTGTCTCACCTGATAAGAATAAGTCACACGAACAGTCTGCAGACCAATTTGAAAAATTGTCAAGATACGTATGGGGTTGTTTTTAAATGTCATTTCTTTTATCCAGACCTATGACCTCATTAGCATAGGAGATTCTCTTCTAGGGATGAAGCCTGGGAATTGTTCTGCAACTTACCATCTTAAATATTTGCCTGTGACACTGAGAAGTTAAACAACATCCTCAGAGACTCTGAGGCTGCCTCCAGTCACTTCGCCATCTAGTGGCCTCTCCTATTGCACTGTTTCAATGCAATGATTCAAAATTGTGATTCTCACACCAGAGAAAGCACAGGTATGACTGGAAGGAGGCAATCTCCCTTTGCTGTATTTCATATTGCTGAACTGCTACCATGTCCATTTATGGGATAATTATCATCCTAGTAAAGGAGGATCATATTTACAATTCGAAGGGAGCAAAAAAAAAGGTTTTCCTTTTACATTTTCTGTCACATACAGCATTTAGTAGTATTCAACAGCGGCTAAATCACACATGGATGTATCCGCTCCTCACTTTGTCCAAAAAAGGGTGGTCAGCTAACTTTACTGTATTTAATTAATGTTTATCTCCAACACATCTGTGCCTTTTCCATTTAGGGGAAATGTTATTTGTTTTACTCATATTTCTTCCCTGGGAAAACATTGTTTATTGCAATGGTCCTAAATCTTAGAAAGCCTGGTATGAGTAGTTATAACTTAAGGATTTTAGGACTCCTAGGTAGCCAACTCTTCTAAATTTGCATCAGCTAAGGGAGTTACTGACTGTTCTAACTAGTCCAGAGAGGGAAAAACTGGCAATCAATTAATATGTTGTTGTTCAGTTGTGTCTGACTTGGCAAAGATAGTGGAGTGGTTTGCCTTTTCCTTCTCCAGCTCATGTTATACAGGTAAGAAAACTGAGACAAATAGGGTTAAGTGACTTGCCCAGGGTCACGTAGCTAATAAGTGTCCGAGGCCAGATTTGAACTCATAAAGATGAGTCTTCCTGATTGAGAGCCCAGCATTCTATCCACTGCTTGACCTAGCTGCCCTCAGGTGATGTTAAGTAGTCAGTAATCATGGATTTGGCACTATAATGTTAGCTTAGATTCAGGACAGGTATATTTGAAATCATTTTTCTGTTTCTTTCAGACCAAAGCCAAGAAACATATGTGAAGGAGGGGAGAGTAATTTTTTTTAATGTTAAACAACAAGAATCTGATTTTTCTCTTTTCCAGTGGAATAGAAAACTGAACATACATATCTGACATTGATAAAATTCTGGGTAGTTCCTATGGCATTAAAAAACACAAACACCCCTATCTTCTTTTAGGTAACAGGAAATAGAACACCATTAATTTTACATTGTCGTCTTTCATTCTCCTTAATTTTACTAATACCAATCTACTCATCATTTACTCTAATTTGGAGGAAGACAGAAAAATAACATTTCCATAGGAAAAATAAGGAAAACACGTAAAAAGGTAAAAATCTTCACTGCTATGACTTTTTTTTTCTGGGGCGGGTGCATGAGAGAAATAACTTTGTAAGTTGAAATACAAACTTCATTTCTATTACAATTTCAATAACACATACTACTAAGCTCCGCTAAGCTTGAAAATGGTACTTCAGATGGAAATATTCTTAAATATTGGTAGGTTTCAAAGTAAAGACGTCAATTTTCCAAATTTTATTCTCAAATTTACACAACCCAAATTTCATGGTTAGAAGGAATTAGATTTATCTATACTGCAGTGGGAAAAGTACTGATTCTGGAATTAGTGGACCTGGGTTAAAATCCTGCTTACTGACACTACCTGTGAGACCATGGGCAAACCACTACCTTCCTGAGCCTCATCTTCATCTTCCAACTAAGCTTAGTCTGTGAGGTTCTTTCTACCCCTACATCTCTGACCAAGTGGAATTTTTTCACACTGGATTAACAAATCAATATATGTATCCCAGTAGTGGTGTGACAAATGACAAATCACGTAGGCAAGGAAATAAAAGGACAAAAAGCTCACAATTCAGAAAAAATTTCATATTTGTCTCTCCCTTGTCTGTTCTGTTAAAACTGATGTGTATGTATTCTTGAACAAACTTCAAGTATAAAAAAAACATGGTAACACATTTTCTGACCTCAAAAATACATTTTCTCTATCCTCCATGCCCATTAACACTCTCTCAAGCCTGAAATTCCTCATTGCCACAATCCCTAGAAATTTTTTCTTTTAAAAACTGTTGTGGGAGCAGCTAGGGGGCACAGTGGACAGAGCACCGGCCCTGGAGTCAGGAGGACCCGAGTTCAAATCCGACCTCAGACACATAACACTCACTAGCTGTGTGACGCTTGGCAAGTCACTTAACCCCACTGCCTAGCCCCCACCACCTCCCCCAAAAAAACAAACTGTTAACTGCATAATGCTATTTACTATATACTTTCAGTTTCAACCTTTCCAGTTATGTATTGTAAATTCTTAAAGTGTAAATTATTAGTAAATTACATCTGGCACAAATATAACAAATGTGATTACTTATGAACAGAAATCACTGGGATGAAAATGGTTAGAAAGAAAAGATAACTCACAACTAAATATTGGGTTTAAGAATTTAAAAATCAAAGGCTCTAGTTCAGGAATAATTTTTAATTTCCCAAATGTCTTTTATTTTGCTTGTGTCTTTTGTTAATAATTAGCATAATGTGGTGTAAGCTTGATTGCAAGTAAAAAATTCATGAAACATTAAACACCATTTAAGATACCATAATACAGATGCTTAACTTATGACTTTAATAAAGAAAAATCAAACTGCATTGAAATTAAATGAACATAACTTCACTTACAATGAGATGATTTAAAAAAAAAACCTGAGAATGAAGGTAGTGGTAAAATTATTGCTTCCAAAAGTCAGAGTTGGCACAAATCATAAAGGATATTCACACCAAAAAAACCTCAGAAAGTTACAGACTAACTCCTTATCTTTCCCTTTTGAAACTTCATATTTTCAAAGCTACTATTTCATAGCCTTTACATCAAAAGTGATATCACATTGTTGTTTGAATTTCTAAATTTTTATATACAACGCTAAGGCAAAAATCCAAAGGATAATGGCATAGATACACAGGTATGACTTAAAACTTGCAAGATAAATAGCCAAGTAAATGTCTGGAAAATATTACATCTGCAATTCTAACAAGTTTATCAGAAAATACAACAAATCTTCATTCCAAAAAACCAAGAGTATTTAATAATCATTACCTGAAAGAAATTTGATGCTTTGCCATCCCTGATGCTGCAAAATTTGCCACTGTACTTTCAATTTACAGAACTGAGGGAACTGATGTCAATACACACACACACACACACAGAGAATGTGGTTTGCTTAAGTGTCCAAAACTACAATTATTTTAATTGTGTAAAAGCATAAGGTGCATTTTTTTCTTGCTTTACATTCGGCTTAGGTACAAGCTATTTAACTTTTAATAAACATTTATAGTTTCCACCTTGATTTACTGCTGTTTTTGAGGAAGATTTTGAAGTACAAAGCAAAATTACAAAATCTCCTAGTTAATTAGTACAAGTTATTAAAATTCAGGTAATTTTGCAAGTGTTTTCTACACATGTACCATGTAAAACATTAACTTGTGCCAATGATTTACTTCAAGATCATACTATTCATACAACATATGTAGCCTGTAGGTGATGTCAAGAAAAAAACTGAAACTCAGTGAATAGTTGAAGATGTTAAACAAAAACTTGGATTTCTCTTACATGTTTATGTAAAACTGAACATAAAATTATCTTGATTTGGCCTAATTTAAACATTTCTGAAAAGGCTAACTAGAGTATTATTGGATATTTAGAGCTATACACTTAAAATTCTGAAAATGCATTACCCGTCAAATGTCTTAATAGCTATAGACAAAATATTGCTGATTGTAGAGTTGCATAAATGACTGAATCAATAGAACCTTCCCTGCCATATGTGTTTTTTGGAAAGCTCTCAACACACTAACCATTTTGCTGGAAGAAGTCAAAATTGACAAAAAGGAGGGCATTCCATTTTTACAGATATGACCATTCAGAATACTGGTTAAAAATTGCAGAATTTCATTAAACAAGAGTGAATGATGGTCAGAGAAATACATACAAAAATAATAATTCTAAAAATCTGCTTATTTCTGTGACCATGCTGCTAAACTACATCAGGGTCATTCTTTAAATGGCTACTACAAAGTTAATTTACTTGCACCATAAATACAAATTATTTCAAGCTGCAATTCAAATCATATACATTTATACATTTCTTTTATCACTTTTTTATACAAAAAGGATTTGTGCTTTTTTGTAGACTTGATCTAAATTTCTATATCAAACATCTTAATTCTATATTTTAAAAATTTATTGGCCAGAAGTTTCTGTGGGAGGTGAGGAAATAAGGTAGGCAAGGAAGTGAGGTAGAACAGGAAGGGTATGGGGTATTAGACAGCAAAGCAAAATTCCAGAATATATACAACCAGTCAAATACTTCTTTATTAAAGACTGATTACTGCCTTCAAAAGGGCAGTATATTTAAAAAAAAAAAGTTTAGCCCTCCCCCCACCCCCAACAAAACTCTTTATTTTTCACAATGGCTACATTCTTCTAGCAACTGCATCTATAAAACAATAGTATAACAGTCTTCAAAATTTGTTCACAATGTGTGCTTAAAAAAGACATTTCTACATCTTATAGATGTTGTTTATCAACGCAATCGAAATACTGTGCTTTTAGAGAGACAACAGCTTAGAAAAGGTTCATTATGGTAGACCTATTTACAAAGTTTACTCTTTAGGTTAGCAATAAATAATCCTGATTTTGGAAGAGCTGATACTCATGCATAACTGACAAGATGGACATATATTCTCAAAATATTTACATAGTAATATCTCCTTCATAGCACTCCCATCAATAGCATAAAGATAATTTTCTCTAACATTCTTCATATGGTTCAGTCTTGCTTTTGGGGGATACATCCTTCCATTTCTACAACTTCTGGCCATCCTTCATATTTGTTTGTATCCTTGTTGTTCTTTATGTGCTACCAAAAAAAAAAAAAGAGAAGAAAAAACAACCACCACAAACCCACCATTGTAATAAAAACACATCAAGCTGATCTTTAAGCTTGATTTATTTTTGGCACAGACACTAATATGTTTATTATAGTGAAGAGGGCATGACCAAGAATAACAAGGACTCCATTACTGAATAGCAGGCAGAAGTGTGCTTTGCACATAGTATGTACATGAAATTGAGTTATTAAACATATTTAATATTTGTTATAACTCAAAATCAAATTCATGTAGCTCTAATACTAAGTTCTCAAAATAAATAAATTTGGATATAATATAAAACACGCAAAATTCCAACTATTTCCCAGATTAAATGTTCCAGTATTTTGTAATGTTAACTACTCACCCCACCAAAGATCAAGATGAGAAAAGTAATCTTAAGTTGCCATTATTTATAGCCTTAGTTCTAGTGCATTAAAAGCACATGAAAAAGTTCGGGGGTTTTAAAAATTTGACAGATTTTTAGAAGCCAGAGAGTACTATGGTACTTTCAAACAATGAATTAATAAGAACAGTGCTTATACAGGGTAAATGGCCACATTTGATTTCTACCCATTTAACTGAGACCAAGAGTTAACTGGGACAAGATTAACTATATTTTTGTGGAATGCCAGGCATTTTGAATTTATTCACCAAAATATAGTATGAAAAAGTCAAGCGACTCACCTGTTCAAAGGGACTTTTTGTCTTGATACCTTTTCCACCACAGAAGACCCAGTTGTCTCTAAAATCAAGGTTAACGATAGCTGTACTTCCCAAGGCAGCAATCAGTAATCTTGCCTCATTATTGAGTCTTTGAGAGAGAATAAATGAACATAATATGAAAACACCTTGTACAAACTGCATTAAATATAAGAACACTACTTCCCTCAGGAAGAATTTTTTTTTTGCTTTTTATTTTTTTTTATTTTAGATTTAAATGCTAAAACAAATTCACAAGAAAAAGAAACAAACTTAAATACAAAATAAGAAAAGAAAAAAAAGCTCTGTCATGCACAGCAGAATGTGAGGATTCAAAATATACAATGATAAATTTCCATTTCAAGAAAACCTATATAAATACCATGCGTAGTGTTGAGAACTGTCCATCTTTTCTTTGTAAGTTTTCTTTTGTTCTCTACTGTGTACTTTTTCCTTTTTATCCCCCTCTCCCCCACACCCCGAAAGGCTACGATTGAACATGGATATATTTATAGATATACATACATATATACACATATAGACATATGCTTTCCCTAACAGATTCTACTCCTGATCTTTGTCTTTTTGTCTGTGCGTATCTCATTTCCTATCCCTCCTGACTCCTCTACTTCTACCCACTACCATGCCCTCCTAGCTTCTTAACCTACCCTCTCCCCAACGACTCCATTCCCATTAATCTAAACACCCTTTTATATGTCTCTTTGACCTATTCCCTCACCCTCCCCTCTAGAAATCCCTCCCTTGTCCTCTCCTCCCTATCTATCCCCTTCGTGTTTTATTTCTTTCTGAATTTAGGCGACTTTTATACTCTAGATATGTATGTATTGTCCCCTCTTGAACCCATTCCTGATGAAAATAGGTTTCCAGAAAGAATAGTCCTCCTCCCCCATCTAATTCTTCTGTGTTGGTTCTTCCTCTTGCACCTCATTTGTATAATTACTCTTTTAGCTGTTCCTAAAAGGTTTTACTTTTTAAAATCATATACACAGGTCCACCCCAAACGTTCTTACAAACTACTCAATTATTAATAACAATCTTTGGCATAAGTTTTACATTTTACATACATAAAAGGTAAACATTCTGTCCTTATTGAGTCCCTTGTAATTCATCTTTGGTATGTACCTTATATTTCTCTTGGCTCTTGTGTGTCATATCTTCTATTAAGTTCAGGTTTTGTTTTGTTTTTTTAAAAGAAAATCCTAAAAGTCTGACGATTCATTAAATATCCATTTTTTAAATTCAGAATTACACTTAGCTTTGCTGGGTATGATATTTTCGGCCCCAACTCCAGTTCTTTTGCTCTTCTATATATAGTGTTGCAAGACTTGCAGTCTTTTAGTATTGTTGCTGCTAGGTCGTGTGTAATTGTAAATGTGGCACCGCCATATTTAAATTACTTTTTTCTTTCTGTATTTCTTTCTATATTTTATCATTGAGCTGGGAGTTTTGGAATTTGACTATGATATTCCTGTGAATTTTCCTCATAGAATCTCTTTGAGGTGTTAGTCAGTGGATTTTTTCTACTTCTACTTTCCCCTCTTGTTCAATGCTTCAGGACAATTTTCTTTAATTATTTCTTGTATTATTGTAACAAAATTCTTTTTTTGATCATGGTTTTCAGGTGGTCCAATTATTCTTGTATTTTCTCTTCTTAATCTGTTCTCCAGATCAGCTGTTTTTCTTATGAGATGTTTCACATTTTCTTCTATTTTTTTCATTCTTTATATTTTGTTTTATTTCTTGCTCTTTTATAACTTCGCTCAGCGGCTTTCCCTTGCCCAATTCTGGTTTTCAAGGACTCATTTTCTTCCTTAGGATTTCAGATCTTCTTTTCTAATTGGTTGACTTTCTTTTCATAATCTTGTCTTTCTTAAATTGGTCTTTTTCTTCCTTTTTTTTTTTAAGTTTTTCCTCAATCTCTCTCATTCGATGTTTAAAGTCTTTTTTAAAAGTTGTATGAATTTTTTGGGCAGGTGATCATTTGATATTACTCTTTAGGGTAGAAGAGGATTTCTTTGCTTAGTATCTTCCTCTGAAGACAAACCCCAGTCTTCTCTATTCCCATAGTAACTCTCTATGGTTGGATTCTTTTCCTTTGCCTGTTCTTCTCTTTTTTTTATTTGTAGCAGCTTAATTTTTGTAATCACCTCTAGTCCTGGGGTATGGGGGATGGTGCCTCTGGCCTCAGATCCTCCTTCAGTTCTCTTCTCTGACCTTGATCCCAGACCAAGACCTCCAGCCTCCTATAAGTGCCCACAGCCAGCAGCACGGACACTCCACTGCTTCTGCGCTCACCGGGCACATGCTGGTTCCTTCTTGCCCCTGCCACTTTTCCACAGCACAGATGGATCTGGCATTCCTTGTCAGCAGAGATTCCCTTAATCTTCTCCAGCTCAGAAACATAACTCCCCTCAAAGTTCCTCCGGCTGGGGCAGAGGCAGCACCACCCACCCCCCAACCCAACTAATCCCAGGGCTTGCCATCTTTTGTTTAAGTGGAACTACCCTGGAGGTGTTTATTCTTCACAGGTTCCAAACCTCTCCTGGAATTTTTCTTTGGATCTTCTCCACTGTCCCAGGAAGACCACTGTTGTGGCCTCTACTCCTATTTATTTTTACCCCTCCATGTTTGCCATGAGCACCTCATTTGAGGGGGAAATCTGCAGAGTTTGGAATTTTCTGACCTACTCTGCCATCTTCCCGGAATCCTCCCAGGAAGATTTTAAGAGTAAGTTTTAGAGAAAGAGTGGAACAATGAAGGAAACAAAAAATTAATTTTGTTGAATGCTAAAATATCATGAACATTTTTACATAGTCATAATGGTGGAGGGGCAGCTGGGTGGTACAGTGGACCCTGGAGTCAGGAGGAACTGAGTTCAAATGCAGCCTCTGACACTATCTGGCAATAAGTATTAAAACTAGCTTCAATTCAAAACTATTTAAATGTATATACTACAAAAATGAAAACAATTTCTAAGTCAACAGATAGCCACATAAAAACTCTCAAACAACTAATATTTGCATGAGAAAATCATGCTCTGCTGAAAAATACATTCATACAAAAGTTAAACCCTCTGGCAAACTATTAGACAAAAAATAGGCTGAAATTTTTCTAACTTTGATTATCTTTTACAGAAACTTCACAAGATATCTCTGCTTTTCTTAAGGCACTGCTAGGAATTTCTGGTACAAATTAATTAGCAAATAATCCAATGGCTTCTGGACAGGAGAAATTAGAGCAACTAAAAAGCTGAATATAGGGGAAACCACTGATTGGGGAGAGAAAAAAAAAGACCATTAAGGGATTTTAATACAGAATACTCCATCATATCGTGATGTGACAAGCTACCTTACCACAGTGTAGAGAATTTGTAGACAAAGTCTAAATAGAAGCCAGTTCTATAGGCTTTTGACATAATATTTCCATGAAGTTCCAAATGACCCATTTGTAACATCCAAAGAGTTTTTGTTTAAGGAAAGAAACTACATCAGGCAATGATTATTATTTTTTAGTTTAAACCTGTGATGTCACTGGTATAGGAAACTCCTACCAATGCACAGCAACAATTTTCTTCAACTTGTAGTTAAGATAGTTGTGTGAGACATTAACAGATTAAGTGATCTACCCAGCATCATAAGTGGTAAGATGTGAACCCAAGTCTTCCTGATGTCGAGTCAGTCCTCTATGTCATGCTCTGATATACTTATTTATGATTTTATGCACTTAATAATCATTGTCGTCATTCTTACAGGTGTTTGTATTTCTCTTGTTTTTGTGTAACAACCTTTTACATTTTTATGCTAATACTAGTTTGAATTTATGCTGTTATTTTAATATTCTTATTTTTATATAAAGCCTATTTATGTGGAAGATGTTAATCTATGTTCTGATTCTTGTTAATAAATTTGTTAATGTGTCAATTTAAAAAAAGATTTAATTTAAATTATTATTAAATTATTATTAACTTATTGACTATTCATTTAATTAATTTGAGTAAACAGTTATTTAGTGATAGTAATATATTATAATTATAACATCTGTTTAATATATTTAATAATTATTAAATTTAATTAAAATAATTTTTAAAATAAATGAAAAAATTTGCCTTAAAAAAAAAAAAGGCAGCTAAATCACTATTGATTAGAGAAATGCAAATCAAAACAACTTTGAGGTATCACATCACACTCATCAGATTGGCTAGCATGACAAAACAGGAAAATGATAAATGTTGGAGGTGTGGGAAAACTGAACACAAATGCATTGTTGGTGGGGTTGTGAATTGATTCAACCATTTTGGACTACAATTTGGAAGTATGCCCAAAGGGCTATAAAACTTTGACCCAGCAATACCACTTCTAGGTCTGTATCCCAAAGAGATCATACAAATGAGAAAAGGACCCACATGTACAAAAATATTTATTGCAGCTCTTTTTGTGGTGGCAAAGAATTGGAAACTGAGGGGATGCCCATCAACTGGAGAATGGCTGAACAAGTTGTGGTATATGAATGCAACGGAATACTATTGTTCCATTAGACGATAAACAGGCAGGTTTCAGAAAAACTTGTAGTTATATGAACTGATGCCAAGTGAAGTGAGGAGAACATTTTACACAGTTAACAGCCACACTGTGCGATGACTAACTTTGACAGACTTAGTTCTTCTCAACAATGCAAGGATTTAAGACAACTCCAAAAGTCTCATGATGGAAAATGCTATCCACATCCAGAAAAAGAACTGTGGAGTATGAATGCAGATCAAAACATACTATTTGCCCTTTCTTTTTTTGTTTCTTCTTTCTTGTGGTTCCTCCCATTGGTTCTAATTCTTCTTTACAATATGACTAATGTGAAAATATGTTTAATATGAATTTATATGTAGAGACTATATCAGATTGCATGCCAGCTTGGGGAGGGGGATAGATGAGGAGGAGGACAAAATTTAGAACTCAAAATCTTATGGAAGTGAATGTTGAAAACTAAAAACAAATTAATTTTTTTAAAAAGGGGGAAAAAACAGTTTAGGAAAATATAAGCAAGTAAAAAGCCAGTGACATGGAAATTAAAAGCAGTCAGCAAGGAGGTTTCCAGGGA